GGGGTAATTGTTCACAAGCCAGTTCTTTTCTTCCTGAGCACATAGTAACAACATATTTCCCAGGCTTCGTGGCCATTAGGTGAGGCATGTGATTGATTTCTGGCATATAGAACTGACAAACACCATATCTAGGCCTGTACCAGAAAATCTGGTAGTGCATAGTTCTCTGTTTACTTTTTTCTTTCTCTTGCTGAATAGGGAACTGCAAGGTTCTAGAGGACTATTCAATAATAAGAGAAATTGACTTTAAGTTTGTGATATATCATTTGGTCAGAACCATCCTGAAAAGGTGCCAAATCAGGAACATCTTTGTTGCAGCATTGCTTTTAAATATATATACATTTATTGTGTTAAACCAGTGAAAATTTGCAGCTCTTATAGAGTTTAGCCTGGTCATTAATTTATATTAATTTATATTACCATGCTGAAAAGACAGCCCAGTCTCTATCTTAGTTTTTCTAGACAAATTAAATATGTGAAGTGTAATATGAAATTTCCTAGTTATAATACATTGAGAAATAATTCAGATATTTTAAAGATATTATACAGCCTAAGCAAATAGTTTGTAAACTAAAACTTATTTTCAAGCTATATATTTAAACCTCCTTTAGTCATAAGGATCACTCACCATTTCCTGAACCTCCCATACACGTTTCTGGCTCACAGACCTGTTGACATTGTTTCTTAAGCCTGGAATGTCCTTCCTCATCTCTTTTTTTCAGGGAAAACATCCCTAGTACTGAGGAGCCATAGCTTACAGCAACCTCCAACTCCTGGGCTTTAGGGGATTCTCCTGCCTCAGCCTCCCAAGTAGCTGGGACTACAAGTGTCTACCACAACGCCTAACTATTTTTTGTTGCAATTAGGCTGAGGCCAGGTTTGAACCTGCCACCCTCAGTATATGGAGCCGGCGCCCTACTCACTGAGCCACAGGCGCTGCCCACATCCCTGGTTTTTTAGTTAACATGAATAGTTAAGGCTTTACTTGGTATAGAAATCGAATGTATTTGGCATATTTTTAAGTTTAGTTGGCATGTCTCATAAAGAAATTCATGTACATAAATAAGCATGAAACTACAGAATAGCAATTTTCAGCAAGGAAAGATGCTTATAGCCTGGGAAGTGTGTGAACAGTAGTGGGAGGTTAATAAAAGAAATGAGGGAAAAAGCATAGAGTAAATGACCTTTGAAAACAAGGTATACCCTTTCAGGTTACAATTAGATACATATCTCTTTGTATTTTTTCTCTCAGATTAAATTAAAACAGCTATAGGAAGCCTTATACTTTTCAGTCATTGTTCATGAGATAGCATCATCATTCAAAGGCATTTTATCATCATTTGCAGAAGAAAATTTGCATTGTGTTTGGAAGGGAACAGTTTCTAGAGTTCTTATGTATGATGGACTTGTGTCATACATATTAGGGAGAGAATTTTTTTTTGAGACAGAGTCTTACTTTTTCATTCTTGAGAGAATGGCAGGGCATCATTGCTCACAGCAATCTCTAACTCTTGGGCTCAAGTGATTCTCTTGCCTCAGCTTCCTGAGTAGTGCCCACCAAATCCTCTGCCTTTTTTTTTTTTTTTTTAGAGACCATTGTCTTGCTCTGGCTCAGGTTGGTCTCAAACTCCTGAGCTCAGGCACACTTACCTACCTTGGCCTCTCAGTGTGTTAGGATTCTAGGCGTCAGCCATGGTGTCAGGTCTTAGGCAGTGCAATATTAGAGCAATGAAAATGTAGGTGATTAAACTGTAACTAAAAACATGTATATTTTTCTGTATTAAAGCTTATATTTTGAGCGGTTTTCCCCTATGGAAAAATTAATATTTTTGCTTTAATCTAATGGGTTCCACAAGCATCTGTCTGAACCAAAGCAAAATGCAGAAGTAGACCAGATGACACAATTATTTGGCAGAAAAGCAAGACCTAAATAGAACAAAATAATGGCTAAACATTCTGTTATTCTTTTTTTCAGATATTAAATGTTTACTGCTATTTACTCTTAATGCAAAATGTTTTCTTTTTTTATTAAATTATAAACGCATAGATCATGTATACCTTAATGTATGTATGGGGTAAAATGTGCTGATTTCATATAGAATTAGGAGTGTTTATCAGCACCATGGAGAAAGAAGACCACATTCACATTCTTATTTATTTAACCTAAATACAAAGCACAATTCACACAAGAAGTTATCTACAAACAGTCACCAACAATTACTCCCAAACCTAAATGCATATACCATTTCTTCCTTCAACATATAAAGCCTACACCAAATCCCTGAATCTGGGTGGCCTTCTTACTTGCTTTGATCAGTAGAATGACAAGGAATTAACTGCTTGTCAGCCCCAGGCCTAGGAGTCAGTAGATCTAGCAGTGTCATTATTCACTCACCTAGAAGTAGCTACCAGGAAATGGAAATAGAGAGGCCACCTGGAGGAAAATTAAACTCCCAGATAGACAGAAGTGAGATCAGGGCCAGCCAGTCCTCAGTAACTCCACTACCTAAAGATGAGTGAAACCTAGTCATATTTTTATTTATTATTTGGTTAGGAATACTGATTTTATAAGCCCCTTGTAACAATTCTCTATCACTGTATAACAAAATACCCTGAAGTTTATTAAAATAATGATTAGAATTCTCAACCTCCCAGTAGGTCCCACCTCTCTCACCCTCCATCCCAAAACCCACCACCAAGAGTACAGTACAGAGGAATCGTACTCACTGAACTCTGACAGTTCCCATTATTATGAGCAGATCATTGTTTTAGTAAACTTCAGGGTAGTTTGTTATGCAGCAATAGAGAGCTGATGCAAGGGGTTTATAAAATCAGTATTCCTAGCCCCCCCCCCCAAAATCAAAATATTACTAGGTTTAGGCAGATAGGTATTTTAGAAAAATGTATCTAGATGAGAAAATTAGAAATTTATAAGTCTAGTCTTTGTTAATAAGCTTTATGAATTTACCACTAAATGAGGTGACTTGCAGAGTAATAAATTCTACTGTTAAAATTCAGCCATAAACTCTACAGTCAATCATAATCTACTTAGGCTACAGCTTTGTGATGAGATTGGAAACCATGATTTGAAAGAGTAGAGTCAGCAGGAGAGGGAAGTCTAAGGCTAGTGCTGGTTCCATACACAGGTTCTATGGTTAAGGTGGTAATCTCAGGCGAGGACCAGCTTTATAGGAGCAAGACAGTGTCTACAGAGAAAAGACAGTAGAAAAAGGAACCCCCCAATCCTGGAACAGAGATCAAAGTTACATTAATTTTGTTCCTGACCAAACAATCATTTCAACAAAGTTTTAATGGACTACTCAAATTCTTGTTATAGGATAATATATTTTTTGTGACAGAGTAAATTAATGAAAAGAATAGTGGGTTATATTAATGAAATCACAGGTTCAATTTGGGTTCAGGCACCAGAAAGCGGTGTGCATTGGGCAAGTCATATCATTTCTACGAGTCACATTTCTTGATATAGCAAATGATGTATTTAAACTAGGCGATCTCTCTATCTTTTGAGCTGAAGAGTTTTGATTCTGTGATTAAGTCTTATAAAGAATGCAGCCTTACCCAGATATTAGATTTATGCTGCTATTGCAGTTGTTTTCATGGGATTATTATGTATTTGGTTCAAGAGAAATTATTGCATTTATAATTCTGTTATTCTAAGGCTAAAAATCAATGGGAATAATAGCAATTCCTTCTAGATGGCATATAATAAAGGAATTTTATAGGTTTAATAATGATACAAAAATTACATTTTACTTTCATATTTTAAAAATACATAAAACATGATATTTTTTACAACATTAAAATTTGTCTGTTCTTCAGGACAGAGATATTCAGATGCCTTAGAGCAGTCCCTCTATTAGGAAATCCTCAACCAGCCATATGTGTGCTATTAAGCATTTTCATTTGGCTCTTCTCTGCAATTAGCATTCCAAAAGTTATGCTGCCTGGTTGTGGATACCATATGTTTGGCCTCAGTCCTTAACAGTTCTGCCACATGTTCATTTTGATAGCACAAGCACTATGGTGAAGGGAAACAAAAGATTACTAACTGAACACTTAAAATCAACATCTAGACCACAGTTTTTAAGTAAAATAAATATAAAGATTATGAAAATTACAATTATTTGTTGGATAACTTCAGTTGACTGCCTCTATTGTGTTCAGTGTGTATCTTCCAAAATACACATTCAGAACCAATAAAGTGGCCCTTGGAGTCAAAAAACCTACCTTACCTTGTCTAATTTGCTAGTGGAAACCTAAGATCAAAGTTTTAATTTTACCTAGAATTAGGAGATTGCCTGGCAGGGACTGGGGTCTTTAGGCCTCTTACATCTTTTGGAAGTGGTAGGTAAGACCAATGCTTGGTGGGTCTACAGTAAGCTGTAGCTTAATTGAGAAATCAAGTGAGAGTTTGGTTTTAGTCTGCTTCCAGTAAAGCAAAGGAAGATTGTCATCAAAATGGCTCTTTAGTGCCTAATAGGATTGCTCAAAAGGTTAGCTGCCCTTATCTTTTCACCTTTCTTTTTGGTCATTTCCTGCTTGACAAACAAGTTGACTCCACTGATGGCTGCTTCAGTGTAGTTAAGAAATCTGAAAGAACATTAAATTCTTAATATGCACCACAGGACCTAAAAAGGAATGGCTGTTAGTAGTCTCTCTAGAAATGGCAAAAGGAGAAATTCTGAAAATGCTCCACCCTTTATATTTGCAGGGATTTATCCCCAGGCTCAGGAGCAATGGGAACAGTATTTCTGGATCTCTGCTTTTGCATTTGTAAAGAAGAAACAATGAACCAACTTAATTTCATCATGTTTGAAATGACTGAGCAGTGAGAATGCTGCCCTGTATTAGGACTGGCAGGAGGTCCATCAGAGACCTCAGAAGTCCAAAATACGAATGCCTGCTACCCAGCTTCTAATTCTGCAATAGCTCAAAAAGACTGCTAGAATCAATATGTCATGAAAACTTTGTCAAGGGAAGTGCTTTCTTCAGCAGCACGTATACTAAAAATTGGAACGATACAGAGAAGATTAGCATGGCCCCTGCACAAAGATGAAAGCAATTTGGTGAAGTGCTCCATATTTAAAAAAAAAAAAAAAAAAAAAAAAAACTTTGTCAACTGAAGCAAGAATCAGAGGGCTTGTCTTTTAAACCTGGTCAACCAGTGGACATATATTTCTTAAACTGGTTTAGGTTTCAGCACGTTTACAGATTTTAAGTTTACTAGGAATTGTGCGCCAGGGAGGTCTTGGTTTATTCCCTTTTCCTTCATGCGAAAATATTTTTGAGCTACTATAAAGTGCCAGCTACTTTGCTAGACAAAGAAAATTCGGCAGAGTTCAAGGCAAACACAGTACCTGCTATCCTGGAGCTTCTGGTCCAGAGATGAAACCATGTAACCTAAACAAACAGTTACGAAAATTGGTGTTCAAGAAGAATGGTACAAGGTGACATGAACCTGTAGTTCCAGGAGCTATGTGCATGTGTTTGGGGAGGACCTACACCACTTTTGGGATTTATGGGGGACTTCCCTAAGGAAAGGGACATTTATTTTACTTAACATCTAAAAGATGAATAAAAACCAGCAAGACGGTGAGGTCCAGAATAGGAAGCCTGAAGGTATTTGGCTCAAGTGCCAACTTTGGTAGTAGGGGAAGTTATTTTTCTCACATTATTGCATCCAAACAAAACATTTTGAAGGCCAAAATACTGCTTATAAAACATGCATTTTGGGAATCCTTACCATCTGTAATGGCACAGACATGTACAAGTAAATAAATATATTATGAATAACCAGAAACTGTTGAATTTGGAACAAGAAAAACTATGTAAAATATTTTGAGGAATGATATAATTAGTATATGGATAATGTTATATAAAACATTTAGTAGTCAAATAAACAGTATGTGCTAACTGAAATGAACAACCTCACAGATTTTTGTTTTTCCCCACAGTGAACTAATGGAAATTGATGTGAATGAAAAAAATACTCCTGCTAAGACCAAAGTGGGGAATTAAAAGCGTTTCTCAGTGATCCCTGGCTGCAGTATTATTAAGCTGTTTCTCTATTGGCTTGGTATATTGTCACACCCTCTTGAGAAGGAAAGGGAAAATCATGCCCCATGTGTAACTAGTGATGTTCTGGGTGACCATTCTGTACCCCTCCTCACTCTTTATTGCCAAGACACCACATGCAAGGTTCCACTACTGTCTGAACATCAAGAATCACCTGATGTTAGCACAGAAGACATAATTTAGCAGTATATGAAACATGAAGTCTACCATAATAATAACTGCATGACTTAAATAATTGAGAAAAGAGGCTAGTGTGTTCCACTCAGGATCAAGTCCAAACCATGCTTATGAACTAGACCAATTTACTAGGAAATGTGGATTGCTGTTTATCTGATAAAGCGGATGGCAAGTGGCCAGAGAAACCTCAAGGTATGTTGAAAAGTTCTGAGGACTCAAAAATGTCAGTGTGACACAGGGCTCAAGAGCCAGCCCACTTTAAACATGCCAGGAACCTTCCTATAACATTTTTTTTTTTTTTTATCATCCTTGTATCTCCAAGTCTAATAAATGGGACACATGGTTTGAGACACTCAAAAGTAGTCACTAGAGGAAGGATCAGGCTGTATTTGCCTTTTGGAAACCTCAAAGCTTTGGCAGTTAAAAGCGAGCAAAGAAGGGTGGGGAACGCTGCTACAGTCTGGAAAAGGCAGAGCCTGGAAGAGCAGTGACCACAGCAATGAAAGCCAAATTGTAAGGTCATAGGGAACAAAGCTGGGAGTTACTTAGAAGTAACTGTACACCAGCCAATGTCTTTCAGCAAATGGCCTTGGGTGCCCCCTTCATAGTGCATTTCCAAGGGATAGCACTCCTGCTCTAGTCAACTGCATTTAAATACACAGAGATTAGCAGTAATTCCAACTTTGTGGGAGACGCCTTTCCTGTCCTTTCCCCCCTGTTTAATTCTCTAGCTATCTAAAACAAAATATTTGGTAGCCTTTGTACAGTTTTCAACAAAATAAGGCTCATACTTAGTTTCTAAAGTTTTAAATACTTCTTGCAGGTTACAAAATTATATAGGTTCTGCAAGTTTTCAGATCCAACAAAGAATAAATTCAGTGTTACATGCCTGAGTCAGGCACAGGTACACCATCTTAGAAATCTATCTCAACAAATTTTTTAAAATAGTAAAGGTTATTAGTAACACCTTACGTTTACATGATACATTTTCAAAGAGCTTTTAGATTTACCTCACTTGTTCACAACAACCAGTGAGGTAAGTGGAACAAGAGTTGTTATCCACATTCCCTTGCCTTACTTTGAAGGGAACATTTTAGAAATGAGGAAACTGAGACTCAGAAAGACTGATGTGCCCAGAGACATGCTGGGAGTGAGTGCCAGGACTGGAAGCCGAGCTCCAGAGTCCAAGTTTATTATTTTTTCCATTACTCAATACTGCTTCTTTCTCCTTGCAGGAGTCATCTAGACTCATTTTTAATTTGAAAAGAGGATGGGAAGATAGGTATTTAGGAAATGGCTTCAACATTGCAAAAAATAAAAAAGCCAAACTAGCACAAACCATTACATAATGAAGTACTGGTAGACTCATCAACATGACAACGATGTCATGCTTAGGACTGGTTGAGTGGAGGACACCTTGCAGACTGATATAATTAACACGCTTCAATATACAGTCTACAGCCCCAGGAGCTTTAATAATTCAACTTTTGCTAAAAATATCTATATAGTGTATCTTCTGATGCCCTAAAGTTATATGAGACGTTTCTAATAGTCAGTCTTCCACATACATCTCTTAAGCATAAAACACAGTTGTCTGTTCTTATGTTATTAATAGTTTCAACATACAAGATTCAAGACTGGTGCTTTTCAAAGCATTTATTTTTTTTATTAACCAATATTTTTTCCTTGAGGAGTAACATACATTCATAAATCAATGCTTTTAATGCACATCTGTTATTTAATTTTTATATTTTAAAGATGGATCTGGCAGTTATTAGGTAACTAAAAGAGGATTTAAAAAAAAATCTTGTATCACCTTGTTCCAAATACAATGAAATATATTCTTGTTAGAATTCAAAATTTGAATTAGCACTCCAGTGGTTATACAATAATGCAAGCATGAAGATTGTTGTGTGGTTATCAAAAAAAATCCTTTAATAAAAATAATTAGTAAGCTTGCCTCTTTTCTTGTCCAGCCATGAAAGATTAAGTTTACCTATCAAATTGTGACTTATATTAAAATTCTATACTTTTGCATTTGCTTTGTGGATGGAAAAGGAACTTTATCTATGAAGTTAAAATACGGGCAAGCTCTGTTAATGCACTATGGTGAATGAGGTACACCTGTAAGCAGAAATGTAAACAAAAGCATTATTCTGGCAACTTTGGGAACTATGGTCTCAGGCTTATAGTCAAATGTGGATCTAAGGAGGGAATTGTTCCCTTCCTTACTTCGAAGGGAGTGTCAATAATCTTGAAAAGAAACTCAAAACCTAAAAAGAATTTTACAGAAGGATGTTTTTCTAATACCATAGAGGACATAGAGAAGTCATTTATTATTGAAACAAGGAACTTTCCTCTTTCAGACAGGAAATTACATAACTTTTTGGAATGTAAAGCCAAACTTTCAAAATGAACATTTTTTTTTCCTGCTAAAAAGTAAGAGTCTGCTAAAATAGCTCCTTGAATATTTGTCTAAGTTTCATTTTAATTGATAAATAATATTTGTATGTATTTATGGAGTATGATGTGATATTTTGATACATGTATATGTTACGAAATGATCAAATCACGATAATTAACGCATCCATTATTTCAAATATATTTTTTTTTTTTTTGGTGATGAGAACATTTTAAATCCTCTATGTTAGCTATCTTGAAATAGACCTTTTTATTAACTCTAGTCACCTTGCTGTGCCACAGACCAGCAGAACTTATTCCTCCTATAACTGTAATGTTGTACTCCTTAACCAAAGTCTGCCATTTCCTCATGCACCTCTCACCTCCCTTCCTGCCCCAGCCTGTGGGAACCACCTTTCTACTCCTTACTGCTATGAACTTGACTTTTCGGGATTCTTCTTGTAAGTGAGGTAATACTCATGCATTGTCTCTCTTTGTCTGGCTGTGTTTAAAATATTTTAAGACCATATTAATATCTTAGATACAGAGATTAAAATCACATGGGTGGTATGATGTCATAAGCCATGGAACAAGAAGGGTTGTATTCCACCCCAGGGAATTGGGTTTTTCATCTTTAATTTTATAAATAAACATTGTTGTTGAATGAATCATCTTTATAATAAGTACATAAAACCAAAGTGTACAGATTGGTAGAATATTTGTATAATCACCAAAGAAGTAAGAAATAAAACACAACCAGAAATGACCTTTGTGCACCCTTCCCTGTCACTCTCCATTCTTCTACTCTGCAGATAACCAATATTGTGTCTTCTAACGCCAGAAATTACATTCGCTTTTTTCTGATTTTTGTTTTGAAGGATTATTTGGGGGCTGCGTCTTTCATTCAGGTTTCTGATTGTAAAATCATTCATGTTTTCACATGCAGCATGCTTGTTCATTTGCTATGCTAATTGTTTTCATTGTATTACTCTGCTGTAATTCAGTTATACTTGCTATTATTGAGGACTGATCAGATAATGTCCTGGTTTATGCATCATGAATAATGTTGTGAATGTTCTTGTGCATTTCTCCTGCATCAGTGCTTGGTATAGTCCCAGGAGAGAATGTTCTGGGTCATAGCATATGTATATGTTCAAATGCTGTGAGTTTTCTAAAGTTAATTTCGGAGTTTATAGTCTTGTCAGCATGTGAGTTTCCCACATTCTTTCTGTCACCTTTTTAAATTTTGTGGTTTTAATTTATATTTTTCTGATGACTAGTTATATTAAGCAATTTTTCACATATTTGTAAGCTACTTGAAAGTCTTTTTCATAATCTGCCTGTTCAAGTCAGGCAGTTCCCACTTTCTTAAATTTAATTTGTCTTTCTTTTTTAATCCCCCCTTTTTTTTTTGAGACTGAGCCTCAAGCTGTC